TGGGTGACAGAGTGAGACTCCAACTCAAAAAAAAAAAAAAAAAGATGCAGCCCTGTAGGCATGCTTCGGTCCTTAAAACACTAAGGAGGCTGGGCACGGTGTCTCAGCCTGTAATCCCAGCACTTTGGAAGGCCAAGGTGAGTGGGTTGCCTGAGCCCCTGAGTTCGAGACCCACCCGGGCAACTTGGCGAGACCTCGTCTCTACAATAAATAAAAAATCAGCTGGGCATGGTAGCACACGCCTGGAGTTCTGGCTATCTGGAAGGCTGAGGCAGAAGGATCACTGGAGCCCAGCAGGTCAAGGCTGCAGTGGCCGGAAGCGTGCCACTGCACCCCAGCCTGGGCGATGGAGTGAAACTCCAACTCAAAAGGAATACAGTCCCCCAGGCCAAGGGGGGAAAATCCTATTACCAGTTATTTCCAGCTCATCATCAAAGTGTTTGGATCTCAAATTCTGAGAAATCCTGCTTTATTCAAAGAAAAAGTCCCTTTCAGGAGTATTTCTACCAAGGGTCTGTAGCCTCCCCCCACAAGATTGTCACTTCTCACTTCTCTCCCACACCCCTTCCAGAAACATCATCTCCTGTTTTATACAGGCTGATCAAATTCTTGGGAGAGGCCAGGCGTGGTCGCTCACGCCTGTAATCTCAGCACTTTAGGAGGCCGAAATGGGAGGATTGCTTGAGCCCTGGAGTTCGAGACCATCCTGGGTCATATAGACCTCATCCCTACAAAAGAATAAAAAAATTAACCGAGTGTGGTAGCGCGGCATGCCTGCAGTCCCATCTCAAACACAAACAAACAAAACCTTTTTTTTTTTTGACTCAGAGTCTCACCCTGTCATCCAGGCTGGAGTGCAGTGGCACCCTCATGATCACCGCAACCTTGACCTGCTGGGCTCAGGTGATCCTTCTGTCTTAGCCTTCCAAGTAACTGGAACTACAGGTGCATGCCACCACGCCCGGCTAATTTTTTTTGATTTATTATAGAGATCAGGTCTCAAAACCCAGGCTGGTCTCAAACCCCTGGGCTCAGGCAGTCCTCTCAAGGAGCCAGGCCTAACACAAACTCTTAAGAGAAGTTGATGAGAGACCCCATGACAGTCAGCACACGGTTCAAATCCCTGTTCCGACACCTGTCAGTGGGCGACCTTGGACATGTTGCCTCCCTGAACTGTGCGGCCCCTATCCGTGAAATGGGAACACCGTGGCCGAGGTGATGTCCTGTTCAGGGGCTCCGCAGCCAGTGAGGGGTGATGCCGCCAGGAACCAAGCAGTCTCCCCCAGGCTGGGGAGCCCCAGGGACCCCAGATTAAGCAGAGAGCATCCCCAAGCACGCCGCAAAAGTTGGATACAAAGACACAAAGTTGGCTGCCTCCCAGGCGAGAGACCACAGGGACACCGCCCTCCGGTCGCCCACCGCGTCCCGGGACGCCAGGCACCAAACACCGCTTGCCCCCAGCCACCCAAGGGCGCAGGCAGGACGGGAACCCCGCTCGCCGGGCTCGCAAGCCAAGTCTCCGGCTCCCGGTCTGGGCAGGGTCTCCCCGGGGAGGGCAGGGCGCCTTGC